AAAAAAAAAGCAAAGTATAAAATTTCCTCTGTAAAGAGATGAACTTCAAGCAAAACATAAACATCAATTAATACTAACCGGTCGAGACTAACAACCACTTGGTCGGCAATTCTGCTACCGTACAGATGAATATCCTTGATACAACCATGCAACATTAGCCGAAGAACCTAAAAGTTACTGAACTATTGAAAAAAATGCGGTACAGTGAAGTAAACGAAGCTAGAATTTGCTGGTCCATGTTTCCGGGAGTACTCTCAAAATAGCGCAGTTACAACAAGTTTCTCGCTTTCAAGAGGATGATTAGCAATTATTTGAACAATAATCTAAAATTTAGATAATCTAAAGAACAATAATCTAAAGTTATTTGAACAATAATCCAAACCCAATCACTGTTGAATTAATTTTTGCGAAAATTCAACCCCAATCACTTTTCACAGCGTCAATCATTATTGTGTCAAAAACCTCAGACGTACTTTCAAAGGACCAGCCACAGCTGCGCCTTCATCATATTGCGCCACACTTCGTACATGACCGAGAAGTGTGTCAGCTGATAGAGCATCACCAGTCAAGAACCCAATTGAATCGGCACCACCCTCAGCATCCGCAATACGGGATGCTTGCACAATCGCCGTAACATCCACAGCACCCAATTCCAGCTCGGCGCATACTTCGGCTTCAAAGCTGAAATATTTATTCGTTATCTTCTGCACCAATTCCTTCAAGTCGGATAAGGTAACTCATCCCGGTCTGGGACTGGCAAATCGAGACCATGTGTGCTCTGCAAGAATATCACAAGATGACTATCCCCAAAAATAAATATAAGTTCTATGACTATGCATTTGACAACTTTTCCAGTTGTTTTGACCAGTATTGCATTGCATGATGGCCAACTTGCTGACCATTCTGATATTCGTCTCCTGAAGGGATTACTAGCTTAACGGCTCTCCGACAAAAGGAACTAACAAAGTTTTAGCCGTTTCGAGTAATTTCAACAAAAGCCATTCATTTCGTAATTTCTTAAAAAAAAGAAACAATACGTGCATAGGTTCACCAGTAGCCTGATCACCAGGTAGCGCAAAACTGGATGACGGAAGATCTCAGAGTTTATAATGTGCTCATTGACAATGCTACAGCTGTCCAGATTTTTTCTGTGCTTCTAACTGGAAGGTCTTACATTTGTCTGCATCCCACAAAGAAACTCTTTAGGTTCTTTACCTGGGATGATTGATTACGCAGACGGGTTGTTTGGTAAC